GATCGACTGTTTTCGAATGTTACCGAGGTCACAAGTTCAGCTGTCTCCATGGATTGTCACGTGCAATACAATGTATATATGTCAATAACCTCTGGGGCCAGTGCCCTGCAATGTAGTATTAGTGCGCCAACACTTAAATGGGTCGATGACCCAGATACGAATATAATATAGTAAAAGCTCATTAAAACGCAATATCATCGGTTTCAGATTAACCATTATGTATGTAAAATGACATGACAAAATACACAAATATTACTAGGTTGATCAACGCAAGTAACTCTGCAAGTTCGGGATTGGTATGTAGTGTAGTCGCACAGCTATTCAACACGAGTCATTTGAATGAGGTGCCTGTGAAATGAGTGGATAAAATAAGAAACCTACATGCACTGACTGATATTCAATGCACAATAACGAAATGTTGGAAAATGATGTAGTTGAAAATAGGGAGAAGAGAGAAATGGCCAAAGAGTAACAGTTTGAAAAGTCCTGCAAAAACACCACCCGGGACATTAACAATTTGGGACAAGAAACAGGTATATTTTGCGATGAAATGAAGAAAGAAATGTAAAGTGCTGCACATGCGCAAGACGAATAGATATATCTCACTGTTTGAGTTCATAAGCCTAGTTACTTTTTGAATTATTTAAAACTAGTGAGAGAGAAGGAAGTGTCACGTGTTTGGAAAACCTTGTCGTAGCCGATGACATGTCAGTGTTAAGAAAAGTACGGACTGAAAATATATCTTACCAATCAAATGTTATTTTGCGTTTCACTACCAACAGCTCGAAAAATATTTCGATATTTTGGCATCCTACTAAGGGGAATAATTGTCTTAAAGCTCAGGCCACTTTTATTTCATTATTTACGAAATTAATTGGCCTAGTGTAGATCATACAAAACATTTTTCTTACACTGATTTAGATGATTTGATTTATTTAGCTCGAGGTTTTACAAGGTTTCGGTAACTGCTATAGTTTTTCGTAAGTTAGATCCCATGATTTTTGATTTAGTATTTTTTTAGTAAATCGAGTTTATTATTAATACTGTTGAAAAATTGATGATAAGAAAATGTTTTATTACAAGTAAAAAATGGAAAAAAACAGATCGACAGTTACAGTTATTGTTGCTTTACGTTACGTTGAAACTGTCTCGAAACGTAAAAGTGTAAAAAGAAATAACGTATTGGTCCGCCATTTTATTATTAGTGGTAAAATAAGCACAAAGGGCGTAAATTCGCACAGCTGCTCTCCATCACCACATGGTTTCTAAGACCAACTCCAAAATTATTCGTGTATCACGTGACATGCTTCAAACATTTTGCTTTTTTGTTTAAATAATGAGTTTTGGTCTACTGGTATATAGTGCAAATATAATGTAGAACATAAACTAAACTAAACCGATCAAATAAAACTAAATACATACACACACACAAATAATGCCATAAATATAAATATTTATTAAATTTTGCTCGTTAATATTTAAATTATGTGTGTGTGTGTGTGGAAGAGGTATACGGCTCAAATTCATGTGAGAGCGCCAATAACGGCGTACAACAGATATAAGGTTAAAGAAGAGTCAGTGTATGTCATTGAACTAACCGTCTAGTAGAATTGTGGGGAATTGTGTCACATATAGACTATGCTTATATGCACTAAACAAATCTCACAACATTTCTATTTATTTATTTATTTATTACGTATTTATTCGATTTTTGGAAATACTAAATAACGAACACATGCAGGGTGTCAAACATTTCATCAATAACCTATATATAGAAGGCATATCACACAGTTCTGAATAAGAGAATAACTTGACAGACTCGTTCCCCGAAATAGGATTCTCGCAATAATTACTTACCTAGTGAAGTCTCGTGCAGTTACATGAAATGTGTCCACAAGGTATCAATGTTTGGGCGATGCTTAGTTTTGGTGAAACACTCAAACACATAGTTCTCTTTATTGTTATTGTCCCAGTACGTCTGCCCGTTCGCTTCGTACAATATTGCCAGCTCTATGCGGTCCCCGATGTCAAAGAATCTTGGAGGCGTGATACCGAACGCGAATTTGTCAGTTGGACCATCGCAGGAGCCTTTTACATAACACGCCTGAATGTCGTAGAAATTCTTCCATCCATTGGCAGTAAAGCGTACTTTAACTGTTTTATGAAAAGCGATGTTAGCCACTCGTACTTTCCCTAATATCGTCAGATCAGCAATAGCCACATTTTCTAGGCTTACCTTTTGGTTTTTGACAGTATTTAGGAATTTCTTGTCGATAGTTGGAAGTGAAAAGCAGGCCGCTAAGTATTTCTGCTCGGGATAGTGATCCGAAAAGTGTACCTTCTTCTGGTGTTTACGCTGGTCAGTTGTGTGTCTCTTCAGCAAAGGTAGCGAATTTCTTAGAATTCTAGGGCTTTCTTTCAGACATGAGGTCGGCTCTGAGATCGGAGGTAACCGGTTGCATGGAAGACTATCGAAATTTCCCCGGGCACGGAATGCGATTTTACGCGTTAACGGCGAGTATTTCATCTTACGTGGTTTGGGCTGGTGGCCGTATGGCGAAGTCGACCACTGATCCGAGCAGGCGACTACGAGGGTCTTCCAGCATCCCACTGCCGTGCATTCCGACATTGTTGAAATTGGCCCACAAATACTCAGAAGCAGCCCTGGAGAATGTATACCATCGTCTCTCTACGAATCAGATTACAACTACAGCCTCAGCCAGATCATTATACTCCTTCAAAGACCCTTTCTCTGACATATAACCTCGTCCCAATATAACAGCTGACGACGCAGACGCAGTAATAGTAGAATAATATTGAACAGAGCATTTATTTATTATTCAAACTACGCAATACCTATTTTACCTCCGGGTCACATTATATACTGTCACGCAGACAGCGTGTGATCGGCAAGCAGTTGTACTGTCGTTTGCATCATGCCCTCATTAGCAACTACAGTCTAAGACTTCCGAATTTGTTATGTAATCAGTAAGTGTGGCACAATACACTTTTTTTTACATATTTCAGTTTAGAATATTATAACACAATATTCAATGGCACTTTATGGCCTCCTTCAATGCTAATGTATCTAATGTATATAATATCGCTGAAATGTATGTCAAAATGTCCGTATAATTGTAAATCAATAAAATTGGGGCAACAACGTTCAATCGAGTACACGGTATCACATTGCAACCACGACAACGTTAATTATTCTGTAGAACACTTTAGCATGTTAGTTTGGCATTTGATTTAACGGATAAAAGAGATCTCAGACGGTTGATAAATGTAAATGATCGCTGTACTACTTGTGCTGTATTAGATTATTTATACCCCGGCCTCTTATATTGAGCCTACGGTTTACAAGGGTATTTTTTTTCAAATTGTCATATAGGCATAATACAATCAGCCCATGCTCCCTGGGGCACAGTGAGAGTGACAGGAGTGTAATAATGAAAATTTGGCATGTATGTATTGATTTATACTTAAAAAGGAAGAAGTCTGAGTAACATTATGTTATATTACACTGTTTATAAATGAAATACAAACAATATCTATACGTACGCATCCGACCAATGGTCAATGTCACATTCATTTTAGTGGTATTTATCATGTAGATTGTGGCACAATTATAATACTGATGGGAATACCGTTTCATATGCCTACTGAACAATATGAAAATCTTCTTTGACCGATGTTACATTTGAACATTTGAATAAAATTATACATTACAGTGTGTATTCCGTCATTGGAGTATCTTAATAATTCATTTATATATGGCGGTCAAGATTAAAGCCAAACAAAAACTAACGTCGTAATTTACGGGGGGGGGGCAACCTAATGTATGAAAAATGGCGACAGTCACCGTGGGGACAACGCAAATAACACACTCACCCCCTTTGAGTTTAGAAATACGTAATAAAATACTCTCAAACAACTACTATCTCAGTTATGAGTTGACACAGTCCGAAATTGCAAAGTCTGAACGTTTGGTCGCAGTTACGAAATCGTGATGCACATTTATTGGATACCAGAAAGGCCTCTTTTGTACACACGCGACCCGGCTGCTGGAAAATACGACGTCGCCATGGAAACCATCAAATAATAGGTCAAGAATGTTTCGCTACGATTGATCTGATGCCGATAGCTGTTGTGAAGGGGTTGGCTTAGAACTCCAGCTCCCGTGTGACTAGCAGGTTGTTGGAAATAACAGGGTTTGATACAATAAAATTTATACAGAACAGATATCCATGGGATATTCATGGTATGCATCTCCCTTTCCCACG